CAGCAGTGGGGAGTGGGTGGGTTCCCTCAGAAGCAGGAGTGGGAAGCCATTGTTGCCATCAGTGCTATAGATAAGCCCAGCCAGAGCAGGCAGCAGCACTGAAGACTCCCCTGCCCCTGGGACAACAGAGAAAGCAACCACAGCAGGTGGGACACAGAGGAAGGAGGGGAGGGGACTAGGGCTGTGCAAAACGGCTAGGTTTTGCTTTGGTTTTGGATTTGGCAGTTTCAGAGGACAGTGATTCATTTCAGTGTTTCGGATCACTGTTCCGTGTTGATTTGGCCAAATCCGTTTCAGAGCTTTGACACTGTTTCGGTGCCAATTCAATTCAGCCAGGGAGAGCCGCAGGAGAAGCCCCCATGGCTGCCTTGCCCAGACCCATCCCCCGCCGGGCCCCAGCCTCCTGGCACTTTTTTTTACAGTAATAAAAAGCCCCGCACTCACTGGCTGCAGCAGCAGTGATCGGGGCCTCTCGGCGCTTGTGGCAGAGCCCCCTGAGCACTGCAAGGCAGTGGCGGGCAGCGGGGATTGCCCCCCGCCACCCCAAGCCTGGCACTGCTCAGCCCCAGAGGTCCCAGTTTCCAGACAGCACGTGGCGCTCTACCAAGTCACGCTGCATCCATGCTATGGGGCAGCTGCTGTGTGGATGCCAAGCAGGGAGGGCGATCCCCAGGTCTTTTTTAAGTGCTGAGAAGCTGGGGCCAGGCGGGAGATGGGGTTGGGCAGGGCAGCCATGGAGACTTCTCCCGTGGCTCCTCCAGCTCTGCCCTCCTTTGCCCCAGCAGGCAGAGCCACAGAAGAAGCCTCCATGGCTGCCCTGCCCGGCGCCAGCCTCCTGGCACTTTAAAAGGAGGTCTGCGGGGCTGTGCTGGACTCTTCCCGGGGGAGCCGCCAAAATATTCCAAAACGTTTTGGATGGTTTCGTTTCTTTTTGGAGATGTTTTGGATTCAGTGTTTCGGGTGCTGAAACAGGCCAAAACACCTCTGAAATGAAACAACTGCCGAAATTTCACACAGCCCTCCAACAGAGAGACAGAGGGGTCATGGCTCTGAGCACGGAGGGGAAGGGAGGATTCTATTCCACTTTGGCGACTTCCTTAAGTCCTCAATAGCTCCAGCGGCATGGACCAGTCTGACAGGGGTGCAGCCACGCCACTGCACCCCCTCAGGATCTGCCCCAGCTGCACTCATACTCATTTCAAAGTGACAAGGCAGAATGTAGTTTAACCAGCTGCAGCTTCAAAGTGAAGATGGGAGTGACCATGCTGCATACCCACTCTGGGTATGCTGTTGGCCCATCCACTCCTCCCAGCTGCCTGTGAGGGGACAGCAGGCTCAGAGTCCTTCCAGGACCCTGTGGCACTCACCGACTGACTCTCAGAGTAACACACTCCACGGACAAGCAGTGTGACCAGCTGTGAGCGCAAGATGAGGCCATGAAAGGTGAGAGGTCGGAAGCGCTCCTCCATGGTCCACTCCTCACTGGGGGACTGGTCCGGGTACAGGTTGGGGTAGGGGGTATATCTGCGACAGAAATGCCTTGTTACAACCCGCACCGACTACCTCATGTAGTAATGGCAGAGAAGCCGCTACCATGATACTCTGTCCCAATGGATGTTAAAGGCCATCCCTGTATGCACTGCCCTCACCAGAGATGGACAAACGCTTCCCCACCACACAGAACGTAGCCAAGAGAGGCCAAGTGACTCACTTACGGACCACACAAGGCAGCAACGGAAGAGCCAAGCTAGGATTTCCCAGCAGGGAGAGGATTTCCCAGGGTCCAGACACCAGAGCAGGGCTTGGGAGGAGTCTCAGCCCAAGCCCCTGCTCTGCCTCCGTCTTCCCATGAGAGGAGTCTCAGGCAGATCACCAAGTCCCAGGCCACAGCTCCTCACAGATACTAGCCCCACCCCACTGCACTGCTGAGGTGCCTGGCCCCTGTGGTGACAGCAGGCAGGTAAGTAAGTGTTACAGATGGACATGTCCTGTTCCCCTGGCCCCACCTTCTCTCCAGCATTTGCTGCAGCAGGTCCTCCTTCTCAGGTGGCTCCTCCGTGGTGATGTGCTCGTCACACATATTGCGCAGCTCACTGGATGGGTAGGACTTCATGGACTGGCTTCGCTTGCGTTGCTCCCCTGCCCGGGTGAGGATACTAGATTTCTGTGGGCATGAGCAGAACTGTGAGTAGCCTGGACAGTGGGTCGCTAGTCAAATTGGGGCAGAAACCAGCCTGGCCCCTTTCTAGCCTAAGCCCTTGGTATGGTTTTGTGTCACAGGCAAAGGGCTTTCTGGGATGATGCGCTGCAAGGATGCCGGGATTGACTGCATCCTTCTTGCAGAGTGAAACTAGAGATGGAGCAGTGCTGCTGGTTGATCAGCATCACAGTTGCTCTTTTCACCAACCCTTCCCAGCCAGCTTTAAGTGTCTCACAAGAGATAGTTTCCCTCCCACACTGCTCTATGTCTCCAGGAGCAGTTCTATAGCCTGAACATTCTGCTGTTGGAAAGCGAGTTTTCTCCTGTTCGGCCACAGTCTACAGTACAAGGGACAGGCTGAACCTCTAACCCCACCACCCAGGGACCCTAGGATTCAGCAGAAGACAAACTGGGCACTAGGGCAGGTATTGATCCTGCTCCAGCAGCAGGAGAGACCCAGCCAGGTGCCTTCCTATAGGACAGCAGATGCCCACCCAGAGGCTTGCCACCTCCTCACCTTGAATTTAATGTTGTTACTGATGAGCTGGTTCCCTTTCATGAACTCCCTCTCATTGCCCCGGTTCTCAGTCACCACTGGGAAGGCATGATGGACAGTCGTGCGCAGAATGCTGACCAGGGACTGGATGCGGGTGTGGGGGTAGACGTAGGTCAGGTTTGGCTCCATGATGTCACTGGCTCGCAGCCTGGGGCAACCGAGAAATCCAAAGGGGATGCAGGGATGCTGCTGGGAGCAGGTGTGCAGTCACATGCCAGCATGGGGCAGGGCTGGTCCCATGCAGAAGTGTGCCAAGCAGAGTAGATGGAGAACAAGAGTTCTCCAACGACACTCAAGGGGCTGTTTTTTCTATTAACCAAGTGCTAAGGCTGTGATGTTTTCACCAGCCCCTTACCAATGTACCTCACAGGCTCAGATGTGGCAAGGCAAGCAGGATCTCTGCATACAAGGCCAATGCCCTAGGGATCTTCTACTAGCCTCAGGGAGCCCTGCCACCCATCAACAGAAGGTGGGGCAAAGGGAAGCATAACAGGCACATTATATGACACATTCTTAGCTTCCTCAGGCAATAAAAACTTCACTCTGGAGATGAGGAAAATTGCATGGTCTGCACAGAAGAGGGAGACTATGTGGGAAGGCTTGCCTGACACCCAGTGTTCTCAAGCAACGAAACCCCACTCCTCTTCCACAGCAGCCCTTCAGTTGTGGGAGCCTCAAGACACTTCCCAACGTCCTCATCAGAGAGAGTGCAATGGGAACTCCTAACAGCCCTTGATGGTAAGTACTGGCAAAAGCAGCCCCTCTTACTTGTCTGTTTCCACCTCAGTCTCCCACTCCAGCAGCGGCACCCCTCGCAGGGTCACGTGGATGTCATAGATGCCCTTGTTGAAGAAATCCCCTGTCCATTTGGCCACCTGGAGAGACAAGGAAAGCAACAGTATGACAGCATCTCGTGCGAGAGAGGAAGCAGGTCAATGCATGGAACCGACACCCACAGACAGAAGCTGGAACCAAAACCCAGCAAGGAGGAAGATGTGGACTCACCATCAGTGTAATCATTATCGGAAGCCCATATGAGATCTCATTGGTGGACTCTATCAGGATAACGGTGAGGCTAATCGTCATGCGGACCACACCCCCAAGAAAGGCGGCCGCCCCGATCAACGCGAAGGTCCCCGAGTAGATGTGGTCTAAGCCAATGTAGCTGGGGAGGAAGGTTACATGTGGTATTAGGACAGGACTCCAGCACAGCTGAAAGGAGACTGGTGGCAGCCCTACCACACGCACACAAGGCACCTTTTCAGGAGGTTGGCGACCAGCCGTCCGAAGGCAGCCCCGCAAAGCAGTGATGGAACAAACAGGCCGCTGGGCACGGAGACCCCATACGTCCAGCAGGAGAGGAAGAAATAGAGAAGGAAGAACAAGGAGAGTGTGACTGGGCTGAAAGTACCTGCAATACAAGAAGAGTTATGACCAAGGGTCATGGGCTGGCTCAACTCAGAGGCAGTCTCACAGCCCACCACCTCCTTTGGCTTACAGCTGACTCTCCATCCCTAACTAGCTCCTTCCTCTTGGAGTCAAAAGCTGGGTGAAGACAGCTGGCAAGGAAGAAGCCAGGGGAACAGGCCCAAAAGCCAAGGAAAGCTGAAGAGACTCTTGCATAAAAGCACCACAGAAGGGCAAGCAGGAGGCTCTGGAGAGGCTAAGGGGGACACGTGAGGGCAGCCCAGGCTGCCTCTCATGACTGCTCACCGTCCTGGTGGAAGAGCTGCAGGATGGCCGACTCCTGGGGGTTGAAGAACAGTGTCGCCATGTCGTTGTAGGTCTCGTTGGGGCAGAAGAAGGTCTTGATGCTTGCGTTCAAGTCCTCAGAGGAGTCCTGACCAATGGCAGACAGCAAGACAACCCTGTCAGGCTACGGCAGCATGCTGGGAGCTGTCACTAGGGCAGGACTGGGCCTGCCTGCAACAGAGACTGTGGGGGAATCAAACCCAAGACTCTGAGGGTTGATCTGGGGCTTGACACGTACTTGGCCACCAAAAATAATACATGAGCACCTGCTTTGCCAGGGATAGCTCCCCAGCCCAGCCCTGCGGCATGGGTTCTGCTACTGAAATTCTACACATACAGGCATTATTTGCGGACAGAGGCTGCTATGTTGCTATGGATAGCAGGCACTTTTGTGGGGAGAGAGTGTTACCTGCAGGCTCAGGGAGCCATTGCCACTATGGTTGGTGGAGGACATCTGTCGGCACTCCCCGAGCACCATGGAGGCGACAAACACCACAACGGTGGTGGTGAGTGACACCAGCAGGCTCTCCAGGACCCTGTAGGCACAAAACAGGAATCCTGCAGCGAAACTGCATTGCACGGGCACCAGCATATCCCTACTCCCTGCACAGAGCTCAGCACTGCTCTGAGTCGTGGTGGGCAGAGACTGCTCAGTGCTAGCCCTGCAAATTCCAGCTACTCTATGAGGCTGCTTGCTCCTACTGAACTCACTGAAGCTACCAGCACCAGGCCCTCCTGGCCATCCCAGCAATTGGAGAGGGCCTTGCCAGGATCTGAGATGTGGCTCTAAGCTCTCCCCCACCCCCAAGCCCTCTCCCTTTAGACACAGCCACGTGACTATTAAAAGCAACATCCCAACACAACTTTTAGTGGCCAATGAGCTTTTCTCTCTCCTTCATAATTGTTTTTGCCAAGTTTAATTAAGTGGCAATTTCTCATCACCAGGGATTCAGTTAGGTAGCCATTTCTTTTCCTAATGGAGCAGACACAGTTAAACCCGATTAAATTAACAAGGCAGTTCAGTACGAAAGACTAGGGGAGGGGTGGGGGGAGGATGGTAGTAGAGTCAGTTGTTCCTTCAGCTACTTCTGGGACAAGACCTAGAGAGTCCCTGCATGATGATGCAGTAGCACTGCAGACTGTATTTTGGTAGCTGAGAAGCTAAGAACCATGGATCTGTTTGTGTACAGCAGCTTTGGTAAAGGATCCCTTCATACTTATTATAAAGGAGTCTTGGCTACTTGTATACCACAAGAGACATCACAGAGAGACCTGGATTGTATCAGCCAGCCTTAGCACCTTCTCTGCAGCTTGTCTGCCTGACACCTGGATTTTCATGCAATGTTTTGAGCTGCTAGGTTTCATAGATTTCATAGACATTAGGGGTTGGAAGGAACCTCGTGAGATCAAGTCCAGCCTGCCCCGCCATAGGCAGAAAGTCAGCTGGGATCAAGTGACCCCAGCAATAAAAACCATCCAAGTTTTTTGAAAGAGTGCGGAGTAGGTGCTTGCACCACCTCTGAGGGGAGTCTGCTGTTCCAGACCCTGGACACTCGCACCATAAAGAACTTTTTTCTTATGTCTAGTCTAAATCAGCCTTCCTGAAGTTTATGGCTGGTAGACCTTACTATCCCTTGGGGAGCTCTGGTGAACAGCTGTTCTCCCAGGTCCTGATGTACCCCTCTTATATAATTGTAGGCTGCTACCAAGTCACCCCTGAGCCTTCTCTTTTCCAAACTAAAGAGTTCCAAGTCCTTCAGCCTCTCCTCGTATACCTTGCCCACCAGGCATTGGATCATATGAGTGGCTCTCCTCTGGACTCTCTCAAGCTTATCCATGTTCCTCCTGATGTGGGGGGCCCAAAACTGGATGCAATACTCCAGCTGTGGTCTCACCAAGGCTGAGTAAAGTGGGAGGGTGACATCTCTGGTTTTGCTTGAGATGCATCGGTGGATGCACACCAGAGTTTGGTTTGCTTTGCCAAATGAGGTCTTGGTATTGTAAACTCATGGCCCCTTCTGAGGCTCTGGACAAAGACAGTGCAGACACATGCAACAATGCAGGCAGGGGGGAGCCTGGGTACCTGACCAACTTTGGCTTGGGGTGCACGTTGCGCATGCGGTACTTGGCTAGCCTCTTGTTCAAGCAGTTGAAGGTGGCTCCGAGAAGGCCCCCGACGATGCCCATCAAGATGAAGAAGCCCAAGTCCACAGCCGTCCAGAGGTGGCATTTCTTATCAGATTCTGAGCACTGAGAACCAAAAGGGAAAGCAGAGATAAGCAGGAAATGGAAGAGCACATGGAGCTGCACACAGCACATGCCAGACTCCCTCAAGCCAGTCTACTACAAGCAGGGCACAGCTGACAGCACTATCCACAGAACAGAACCCTATTCCTGGAGGATTTCCCTTCTGCAGGATTCTACAACTAACCGTATGGATCTGGGCAGAGCAAGGACCACTGATGGGCAGGGGGAACGACATACAACACACCTTGAACTCGCCAAAGTTGAGCAACCCTGGGAGCTGGAAAGACCCCCAACTCCCAAACTGAATCCCGGAGCGGAAGAAATTCAAGGTGAAGGTGGCAGCCATGGAGCAAAAGAGCTGGAGAAGGAAAGAACAAAAACAACTAAGGTCAACAGCAGTGAAGCCTTGCCTTTGGGTAAGAGATGATTGCATCCTACTAGCACTGAAGGAAATGCAAGGTAAATTTTAGCAGCTACCTTTTGTAATCAGGAGGGATATCACCATGATCACCTAGTTTGACCCCCAGGACAACACAGGCCAGAGCATGTTGTCCAGAAATCCCTGCAACACGCCTGCCTATACGTTATCTTTGGGACACTGACCGACTACAGTGAAAATAATTTGCACAGAACTAATCCAGCTTGTTGTTGCCTTGTCCTTATAAACCGAGGCCTTAATTGGCTCTGGCTGGTGTTCTGGACTTGGCAAAGCCCACAGCTCCTTTTCTCCACTCTGGGAGAGGAGCCTTGCAGCATTCTAGTAGTGACAAAGTGCTGGGTAGGAAAAAGCCCAGTCACGTTCCCCAAGGCAACTGCAGGAGCAGGACTAAACTCATTCCAAGAGGGGTGCCACAGAAATGCCAAGCAGAGGCCACGTCAGCACAGTACCTGAGCAGGAAGGAACCTAACTGCAGCCTTTGCCCTCACATAGCATCTGCCTAATGGAAAAGTGGGGGCCAAGCCAGCTCTTGGCACTGCCCTGATGCTTCTCAACAGCCCCTTCCTGAAGGCGTTTCTGCTTTCTGGCACCAAAACTAGCAGCAGCTCACATTGGCCCATGAAGCTTTGGGGGAATAGGGAGTGGGGCTGGGCTTGCCTCTGGACCACTGTGCTGGGACATCCCTCTCTGGGAAGGAGCTGACGTCACTACTCACCACTTTCCACGTGAGCCCTTGGTTCCAGAAGGAGGATCCCTCCTCCAGGCTGAAGAGTGTGCCCCCAATTGGGGCCCCAAAGGCAGCCGCCACGCCTGCAGCAGCTCCAGCAGACACAAAGTCCCTTTTGTCCCTGGGCGAGGAGGGAAACAAGGACACTTCGTCAAGGCAGTCTTGGAACAACTCTTTGGCCCCCATGGCCTTTCGCCCCCACGAAGACAAAGGGAGCTAGAGGAATGTGGTGCTATGCAGCAAGCTCGCAGCGAGCAGGCACTTCCTTCCAAAGAGGCTCACACTGGCCTGGTGATCTGGTGCAGTATGACAATCCTATCTTCATGCTGCCTCAGCCCTCTGAATGAACAGGAGAGGCCATGATGTGGCCCATCCACATGAGGGAGTCTCACCTGGCCACCAGGTCCCTGCTTCAGGGAAGGGCTCCCCTCCAAGCATCGCTTGAACATCTGAGCCCCCTGGAGGGATCTGTATCAATTCCTATCCCTTGGGGAACCCAGCTGGGACCATGCTCTACAGCCAGGACCCAATAACTCTGCTCCAGCAGCACAAGGGAAACCTGAAAAACTCCAATATGCCAGAGACAACCCCGCCAAGAGCCTGTGCCTGCCCCCAGCACGAGGACTTTCTTCTCATTGGGCACATGGAGCAGAGCTTTGAACCACAAGATGATTCAGAGGGCAGCATGAGAAGGCAGCTGGCACCAGGCTATTACTGGTACACTTCTTTGAGCTCATAAGCTTCTTAGGATAAAGCTTTCATAAAGCTATGTCAAGTAATTAACTACATTCCCGTGATGCTTTGCTAGCTGTGCCAAGAGTCTATGTGAATTCTGCACAACCTTTAGCACCATCATGTTTCAAGAATCATTTAGCAAGAGTCTCCTTCCTTCTTCTCACTGACCCGCAGAAATTGTGCGTGCCTTGCATTTTTACATTTCCTCTCTGAAGCCTATGAGATGGTTGCCAGCAAGAGCAATGTATGCTTGGGGCTGGCACATTTTCAGCATGCTTCACACATGCTGATTGCCAAAGGAGAAGGAGCTAATTCTACAGAACTGAGCTGGCCACAAGGGAGCTGTGAAGAGGCTGGTGTGAAGTTCTATGCTGCTGCTTGCTCTGTTTCAATTGCTATGGTATCATGACAGACCAAGGACTGGTAACGTGCACTGCATATGGCTGATCAGTGATGGTCCCTCAATCAACTAGTCATGTTGTACTGTTGCTTACAGTCAACACAGGGAATAGAGTACCTTGCACTGTCTAGGAAAGGGCTGAAACCTACTTGGAGATAATGTGGGATGCAATGGTGCTGCCCTGCAGCAGCAGGACCCTGGAGAGCAGAATTCCCAGGGAGGAATTCAAAGCCTCACTGACTGACTCATTCAGTCCAGACCCCTACTTCCCTGACCTGCCCCACAGAGAACACGCACCTGTCACTGCGGAAATAGGGGAAATTAAACTGGATCTTCCTCAAAGAGATACTCTGGAACTGGAGAGAAGGACAAAGTCAGAGTGACATGGGTGAAGGCAGCCCCATTCTCCCATAACATGTAGGAGCATCCAACCCAGGACCCACGACTACTTTGCCTGCCTCTGCCCTGAGGCTGCAGCAACAAGGAGTGGGGAGGGAAAGCAGACAAGGAAAATTGTTGTTCAATAAGATGGTTGGCTGCTCTCCCAGCAGGTCTTGCTTAGAGAGTTTGATTCATGCCAAGGAGGAGAGCTGTGTCCCTGAGGGAGTTGCAAAGCAGCTGCAGATGCCACCAGCTTTGGCTGGCCACTCTCCAGCACCATTTTTTTCCTTCCTCTCAGCCCGTGAAGATCAATGCCCAGTGTTGTGCCCCTGTGCAGTTCCTTGGTAGATGCCCTTGGTGAACTGGGGGCAGCTTTGCCTCTACATCTCAGTACAAAGAACCCAGACTCCAAGGCCACATACAGGGGTTCTGCAGCTGGTACATAAGCTCCTGGGGCCCCAAGGGTGAGCAGTGAATCAGCACTGTGCTCACAGGCCCGCAGCCTTGGTGAAGCCACCTTCTGCTTCGAGACCCAGCTCACCCCTGCTCAGCACTGGACATCTCCTGAGCCCCAGCTTGCCCTCAGCCAGTAGCTTTGAGGGGAGATGGTAGTGCCTACCTTTACCCAAGGCAGCCCAAATTCATTACCTAAAAGAGCACCTGTGATCAGCCCAACCCAGCCATGGCTCTGTCACTGAGTTTCTAAGAGAATCCTTCTCATCCCAACCCATGTCTTGGTTATGGTGTGAAGGGATAAACTGCAGAGCATGCCCAGCCCAGCCCAGCCCAGCCCAGAGAGCAGCAGGGCACTGCCAGCACTCACCTGTGGCAAGCCAGCACCCACCACAGCCCCACTGTGGATCATGGGACCCTCCTTCCCCACAAAGAGACCTGCAACACACAGACTGCTTCACTGCACGGCTCTGTTGGTCAGTCTGGCCTGCTCCCTTCAGTCCAGCTGTGACAGGCAAGGGCTCTCAGCTCTTTTGTGATGGGCTACATGCAACAACACACCTCCACACAGGGTGTTTCCAACCTCCCCATAACAAGGCAAGAGCAGACAACGATCGCTGAGACACAAGAGCTCATTTCTGGATTCTGGGCAGCGTCGGGCAGCAACATACATTGCAGGGTGCAGCTCTGCACTGACATGTGTTTCAGCACAAGAACCTTCTACCCCATCAGGCAGAAATGTTGCCCATACCTTGAACAATCCCACCAGAGATGGTTTCACTCAGGTGACATTCTCCACAAGCCGTGTTCAGACACTGCCAAGGAGCATCTTGCTTGCTGGTTCCCACCTGCCTTCCACAAAGCAGCACCAACTTCCCTGCCACTAATTGGCCCACTGGAGCTCTGTTCTTCACTACCAGGTGTTTAATGCATGGCTCTTTATCATTTCCAGATTCTGCAGCCACCCAGAAGCCTGCACTTCCACCCAGACCCAGCTGCATCTCCATGGAATCAAGGTTCATGCACACACAGAGGCAGAAACTTTCACTATTGCTTCTTGCATGCAATGACTTCTTACAGCCTGAGGGAAACCCACCCCACCCACCCTTCTTACCTCCAGCCACACTGAAGAGCACACCCAGAGCTTTGCACACTAGCGTCCGGAGACGGACTACCCCAGGCACCTTCACCCCATTCAGGTAGCATTTGATTTCAGGGATGCCAGAGCCAGCGGCCACAGGCTGCAGAGAGGAGACAATTGCACCAGGCATGTCAGTGTCCAGCTGAGCAAAGATCAGACACTGGTAAGTCCAGAACGTGCTGCCAGACTTGATTTTTTAGTGCCTGCAAAGTCCTTGAAGCAGAAAGTGTAGCAGGAGGGCAAGAGCCTTGGCACACCTCCTGTGTTAGATAGGAAGGATTGGGGTGGGGAGCGCAGTCTCACCTGGATCAAGACAAGCAGGCTGGCCAGGAAGACGAAGGTCAGGTTGAAACCCAGCAGCTCAAGCAGGGACAGGGCAAGGCAGCCCTTCTCACTGCACTCCTCCACCGCTGTGGGAGAGAGTCAAGGAAAGGGGCATCTCCTGCAGAATGCTCTGTGGGACCTCCTCCTAGGGGCCCAGCCTGCCTCGTCTCCTCCCAGCCAGTGTACTCGCCACTGCACCCTGGAAAGCAGAGCCCCAGGCCAGCCCTCCCTCCCAGCCAAGCTATCAGAGACATCTAGAGCACAGCATGCTTTCCCTGGAGCAGCATTCTCCAGTAGGCTAAGTCACAGGGCCCAGCAACAAAAGAGAAGTGCTGGTAGCATCTCCTGTGCATGAAGCAGAAGAGTCAGGGCAGCACAAGACTGGGAGATAAACAGAGTCAAACAAGACACTTCCAGCAGGGCATGGGATGCCCTGCTCAGCTCACTGTATCTGCTGCTAGCCCGAGGCAAGTCATGTTCCGATACCAAGGGGTACTGGAGGGATCGGCTACAAGGTGGGCCCAGTATGAACCTCACTTGCAGCTCCAAACTGGCGTCCCATTCAGGGGAGCTTTGCCAAAGACATCAATCAGTGTCAGAAAGCCCATGTCAAGGGGCACCCGTGCTACCTCATGGCCAGACACCTCTGCCTTAGAGACTGGCCCAGCTGCTGAAGCAAAGCCCATGGCTGGAAGCTTAATCATTAAATCAAGAGGCATGCAGAGCGGAAGAGCTGTCCAGGGGAGGCAGCCTTTAGGAGCAACAAGGTCGCACAGCACAACACAACACAAAACCAGGCACCAGGCAAAGGATACAGCTTTGTACCACCCGGAACTTGAGCTGGGAGAAGAGTCGGACCGAGAAATCCACAAATAGTCCCACCTAGGAAAAGGCAGCAGCAGGTATGAAAGATGACCGCTCACCAATGCCACAGACCAGCCTGCCACGTCCTGGGAACTCGCCATGCCCAGGTCTTACCAGGTTGCATCAAACCAGAGACAGACCCAGACCTAGACCCAGACCCTCCCTGGCTTCAGGCACCCTGAGAGGTCTAAATGCAGGCAGCAAAGCAAGCATCCCTAGAGGCGGTCAACACAGTTCTGCTCCAACTTAACACCCTGCTTCATCAGTCTGCTCATTAGCCGCTTAAGACAGATGATATCCCCTAAGCAAGAACACTGGCGTTTGGGGAATCTGCAAGGAAAACCCTGTGAAAACACAATCGACAGCACTTGCAGAGAGAAAAATCCTACCCCATACGAACCAACTAAGTTTCAAGCCCCTGCCAGTCTCAGGGAGGCAGGACCAGCCTGGGACCCAGCTCTGCTTTTAAGGAAGCCCAGGGCCCTCTCCTGCCGTGAGCTCACGGAGACCACTGGCGTCAAGCCCTTGCATACTCCCCACCCTGCAGACTCCTTACCAGGCCCGTGCAGACGCCGATGGCAAAGACCACCACCCATTTGACCGCTTCATACCTCCGGCTTCTCTGTTCAGGGCAGAAAAACAAAGGCAAGTCAAAGCAGCATGCGGCGGGGAGTCAGAGGATGCGAGGATTGCAATCGCCGTTTTGGATGGAGCCGGAGAGAGGGATCAGCACAGACAAGTACCCCCCGGAGGCGACACGGGGCCGGGCTGGGAGCCCGAACCATCAACGCGAGGCTCAGGACGGGTGCCCGGGGCTGAGGGGCCCCAGGGCTGTTTCCACCCCCCAGTCGGCGAAGCCGAGAGCAGCACAGCGTTGCTCCCAGGGGTCAGACCGGTCTGCGGTGGCGGCTCTTTGCACGGATCCGGCTCCCTGGGCCGGGAAGCGACAACGAGCGGGCTCCTACCTTGTTGTCCAGGCTTTCCAGCACCTCCAGGTACGGGTCATTGATGCAGCGGTCGTAATCCAAGCTCTGGAAGGACACCCCGTGGTTAACGCCCCGGCCCCAGGGGACAAACCCGGGCCCCGGGGCGTGAGGGGAGCAGGCCGAGGGCTGGGTGCGCTCAGGCCTCGCAGGGGCGCCCGGCCCCGCACCTCGTAGTCCTTGCGCGGCAGGATCTCGTCCTCCTCCTCCTCCTCGCGGGTCTCGCCCAGGATGGTCTGCGGGGGGGAGCGGGGTCAGGCGGGGGCGGGGCGCGCAGCGCTGCGCTGCCCGCTCCCCGCCACCCGCCCACC